CATGGTCTGAAATTTGATTTCACAACAGTCATTGCACCAAGAGGTTTAAAAAAGTGGCCTGTGAGAAACAAACTTATGAGAAGTAGCCAAGGGGAAAAAAATGAGCCTTGTACTACGTGGATTTAAAACTAATTAAGAGAACAGTTTGCTTTTGTTTGTCAGTAAAGCTAACAGCCCACAGTGATAAGAACACAAAAACTTTCTTCCTAGCTTTTATGAAGACAGCTCTATTTGTATGAACATATCCAGCTCCAACCTTCAACACGTAGAAGTTACTTCATAATGATCCATTCTGCAGAGAGTAGAATTGCTTTCATCGATAAGAACAAAATAGGGGAAATCTAATTCAAGATTTTCACATGTAATTTTACTTAAAAAACAAACACCAAACAACATCACATTTTGCTGATGATTTCTTTGAAATTCTGTCCAAAAAAGAAAAGAAAGCCACACCAGGCATCAAACTTCTGTGTTGTGGAAAAAACGCCTCTCCTGAAGCTACTCTCAGGACCTCCAAGAGAAAGTAACATAGTATTTATGTTTGCAACACTTGCCAGTGCATTTCATGGCTACTTGCAAACCTTTGACTACTGACCTAAAATCCTGAGCTTGGCTTCAGCAGACACCCAGGTGTGAGGATGCACACAAAGCACCTCCAGCATTTCCGCATCCTTCTTCCTCATCTTTACAGGAACACCAGGACACCTTGCTCTACCTGGAAAAGCTAGCTCTGACTCCCACACTGACTCAAGTGTGGGATGAAAACCTGGAACATAACAAGACATCCATCTCCACTTCGCTTGCCAGAAGACCAGTTCACGTACCTCAGACTGGGCAAGGAAATCAGCACCAACCTTGCCAGTATAGAAATACAGGTAACATTACTTTCCAGTATTTTCCAAGACAGTTTGGAGTTTGGCAGCTACACCCCCTTTGAGACTTCCCTGTACTTAGCATGCTCTGGTCTGAACACAGGAGCAAAAGGAGAATTGTCCAGCAGTGACCAATTATTCACACAGCTGGAACTGCTGCAGTTGCAAGTGCAAACAGGCCAAGAGAATCATTCCTTACTGCAGCTGCTCCCACACAAAATGCAGGGGGAAAGCAGCTCTGACACACACCCAGGAGGAGGTGCAGGACAGGTACCATGGAAAAATGAGGTGTATGCAAACCAAGTACATGTGAATCAGAACAATAGGTGGGGCGTGGGTGTATGTGCATGAAATTCTACCAGAACAGACAGAGGTATAGACGAGATCTAACTGTGAGTCAACATAAAATTCAGGAAACTGTATTGTTATATTTTGCTCCGTTCAGAAAGTAGCTCAGACAAAACACAAGAAAAACTTCTCCCAGTCTTTAAGGCCACTATGCCTGAAGGATAACCGCTAGCCTTGGCTGATTTTGGCCACATCAGCTCAGGCTATAACAGGATGTGTTTCAGTGCAGAAGTTTAAACTCTAAAGAAACGTGGGTACATACAAGTGCTGCATCCTTTTCACATTAAGAAAGTACAAACAGTTACAACCATGTTACAATCAAGAACGGCACACAGTTGTAAAATTAATTACTCTAAGCTAGGAGGAGTCCAAGGCAGCATTGCTCATGACAGCAGAGCACACGTTCTGTTCTTTTATTTCACTCCCTTCGCAAATCTATCATTGTAATTGTACTTACAGAAGAAATAAAAAAAATTACACATCCTTTTCTTCTGACAGGTACCTCCACCCATTTAGCATGCTGGATGAACCTCATCAGGACAATCTGCTGTTACCAGTGAGGGTTTTGTCCATAGAGTTTCACTGACAAAGTTAGGAACAGAATGTAAAAGCAGAGATGTGTGTGGGGGGAGCTGGGAAGGAACACTTCGTTCCCTTCACAAAAAAATCTAAATAAGGCAGATGAGGCTCTCTGGACATCCAAGTTTCAAACTTGCCCATGTACTTAAAAGGTGTCACAGTAATTCTGCAGCAATGTAAACTTCTCAGTTGCCATGACACAGCAAGTCTCCCATTTCTCACAACAATAAGTTCATCTTTTGTTCACTTGCCTAATACATTTTTTTATATTAATTGCATAATCAATTATTCATTAATGGATTTTATATGGCAGCAACCTGATCTTTCCAATCATTTGAACACTTTGCTCATTGTTGTCCAGAATCCGCAGGATATTATCAGTCACAGCCTTGAAGTAAACCCCCTATTTGTTATTCTGGCTGATTTTCATTTGTACTGGAAAAGAAGGACCTCTGTCCCCAGATGGATGGATGGCATGTAAATACACAGAACTAGATTTAGCTAAGTCTAGCTAGAGGTATTCTAGTCTCAGTATCTTCAACTCACTGCTATACAGAAAGGCCAACAGGTCAATATCCCCATATCAGTATTGTGGTAAAAATTCCCCATTTCACCAAATACTCTTGGGCTCTCAAGACTCAGATAATTAAACTATAAAAGAAATCCACAGAAGATTTGTAAGTTTTCTCAGCACCTGAAAAAGCAGCCTCCAAAAAGAAATGCTGACATACCCTCACCAGGATGCTCCTGGTTTAACCGTGCTCATCTCAACCGCTTCACTTCTTCCAGGGTATCCAAGTTCAGATCCTAACAACCTGCGGGCCACAAATGTATTCACATCACATTTTAACAGCTTACTAGTAAGACACCATCTGCACTTGTACAGTCCTAGATATTAGATAATAGCACAGGTACAAATGGAAGTCTATGAGGGCTGCTCCAAAAGTAACACCTCCCATTTTATTACATAGGCTCTCATCAGTGGCAGATGTTGGTGGTATGACAGAAGGAGTTGAGCCTTACCACCAACATCCCATTGCATTTTGTTGCTACGTGACAGATGGCAGCAGAGGGGCAGTCTGGCAAAATGGTGTCTGAAGCAAAGGTGTGTCACAGGATTCCTCCCTGTGACACAAACAGCACCCACCGACATTCATCAATACTTGCTGAACATCCACGGAGACCAAACAGTGGATGTAAGCACAGTGAGGCAGTGGGCAATTCATTTCAGCAGCAGTGACAGTGGTCATCTCCATCAATGCAGATTTTACAAGCACAACGTGCAAGCTCTTGTTCACTGCTGGTGAAAACGCAAAGCTAATGGTGGTGACTATGTTCAAAAACACTGTTTTGCAGCTGAGAATGTACTCTTATCAAACAGAATTATTGTGCTCATTGTATCTCTTGTAGTTTCCATGGAAATAAAAAGGAGGTATTACTTTCAGAGCAACATACTTTTTTACTGCAAGCTGAAATCCATATATAGTTTTAGAGGTATTAAAATGCAGAAGCATTGGAATAAAAAACATCATTATGCATTCTGCCAGCATTTTGTTTTACAAGCAAAAAGCTAAGTTCTTGTTTCTTATCATCATATCTCCAGCTGATTTACTTTCTTGCCCAAAACCTTTTGCCAATGAACGATGGAGTCAGTACTATTAGACACTGTCTCCTTCATCTGTCTGTGCCAAATCAAACATGCTATGGTTGCTAAGGAATACAAGTAGAATTCTGTAAAGCTATTCCTATAAAGTCTTATCAAAATTGTGTATAATCCAGAGATGGTCTTTTTATTTAAGAGTTCTGACACAGGAACTGCACTTCAGTACTGCTCTTTCAAATTAGATTTCATACTGGATGCTACAGATAACAAAGAAAAACACCAAATATGAACACAATTTGGCATACAGCTGTTTCAGCAGATTTCCTTCCCCTTTTCTTCTTTCTTGGGAAAGAAAAAGTTTGCATCTTCTGCAAAACCATTTTTAAAATGACTTTTGAGTGATAGTGAGGTGCTTGAAAGACAAAAGGCGGAAGTTATGTCCTTCACCCTACAAAAAAACTTTCACTATTTGACTTGAAAAAAATAATTCTGAGATAAAAACTGAAAGTTGCAAGTCCTCATCCATTCCTGTCTGTATCAGAGCTCTATTTTAACTTATCTTGTAAAAAAAGGTGCTTTAATTCTGCCCTTCATCCTCTCCACTGACACTTACCCTATCCTATCCAGCAGAACTACTGAAGAGGCAAGGGTGGCAGGGCATCTAGAAAATAAATGAAATTATTTAGTGAGAAAGCACTAGAAAAACTGAAATGAACAATTCAGAAAACAATTCAACTACAAAGCCTTCAAGACGTTCTTACTGTTTTCACCTAATAAATTTGAACTTCATGTAGTACGCACACTAACACTACTATAAAAAAATCAGTTCCTAACTAGTCAGTACCTTCCTAAACAACCAAGCTGCAAGCTGCTTCCACTCTACCCCAATCTCCTAACAAGAACTTAGATCTTGAAAGGTAGGGTGGAATTTCCTTATCTGCAGAACCATCTCACATTCATGTAAAACAGCAGAGAGGCCAGCTGACAACACTGCACGGACCTTGGAGAGATGGAAATTAATCGCCCAACTTGAATAATAGACAAAAAGAACATGCCTGGTATCCAATTACTAGCATTTGTTGTGTTTTCTTATGGACATGAGATACTCTCCAACACTAGCAGAATGATGTAACCTTGTTTCATGTGGCATACTGTCAAATAGCACTAAGTCCTTTTTCTTTCTCTTGAGTACATGCATAGGAGAGAAGGAGAAGAGCAAAGAAAGAAATAAAATGTTTTTATCTCAAGCTGACAAGATTCACATGCTCTGTCATACACACATGCTCTGAATTTGTCTCATCTCATGTACCCAGGAATTACAGCACGGCCTATAAACATCACTTGGCATTATATGCAACCTATATGTGGCTCGAAGACAAGCTAATCACGATTGCCAAAGTCATACAAGTGATTTCACACACAAGTACTAAGCAACTGCTCACTTTCTGGACAACAGTAACAAACAAATGAACCCTACAACCAGGATAATGCAGAACCAACAAGCAATTTACTATTACTTTTCCCAAGAAAACAGAACAGCCACAACTGCCAGCCCAAGTACAGCTGAAATACTGCACGACAAAGATACACACGTTAACTACAGTTTGTATATTTTTCTTATTTATTCAAAAGCTAGGGGGTGACAAAAGGGTTAAAATGCTTGACGCCACCTATTTATTACATGAACAAATACTTAAATCCATCAGAGACTCGTTTTACAAGTCTCTCAATCCAAAAACCACACGCAAATTAGATTTTATACACAAATGTTTATTTCTCAAATAAACAACCCCTTTAAACACAAGGAATGAAATCTAAATCTTCATAAAGATGAACCAAAAATGAAATCCCTCCTGTATACTGTAATCACTGTTTTCTTGGTCACTACTGGCTTTAACTGTTTAACATCAAAAAACAAGGACATATTTAAAAAATCATGCTACTGGATTCCTACCTCTGCCTCTGACCAGCTCTATACTCATCTCCAATATTTTAAAATTTTACATCATGAAATCTGAAGCATTTATGTGAAGAACAGCTGTGCATTAAACACAAACAACAGAACAAGAAGATTATAAGATGTAGTCAAGTTCATAACGAATATAGGTGTTCTTTTCATCGTTATAGATTCTTGGATAGTGTGCTATCAGAGCATCCTGTGAGCCAATGTAGATGGAATTATAAATCTTCCAGTAAACGTCTCTGACTTTCCGGGCAGGATGAAACAAACCCTAGAGAACAAAACAAAAGAGCATTTATTCAAAGCTTCTGTTCTAAAAGCCTGTTACTACATTTAACCAGGTTTTAAACAACAACCATTTGAAAAGCACCATGATAATATTTAACATCAATTATTAAGAATGAATGACAATAAATGTGTAATTATCAGTGTTGTGAGATATGAAGTAGCAAGTATTAAGAAAATATTACTTAAGATACATTCCTTTTTTTTTTTCTAGGGAGAAATTGTACTACATGTATTTCTAAATCCACACCGTTCTTTCAAAAAATACAAATCTACTGCAGTATATTTGGCTTGGAAATAAGTCTTATCTTCGGCTCTGGTAACTGTGATTTAATTGTGTAGAGAGCACTAGATAGAAATACAAGATATAAATGATTACTAAACCTGAAGAAATTGAGCAGAACATGAAGACTAGAAATAACATTTCCATAAAATAATAAAATTAGTAAAATATACACTGCACAGGAGACTCTCATGCAACTTTAGTTTTCCTGCTGATGTCAGTATCTTTGTGCTGAGGCACACCAATTAAAAGAACAACAAAAAAAAGAGAAATTCCCTATCTACACATTAATAAAATGCAGACAATTTCTACACTGATCTGCACTACACACATCCTTGCTTCTTATCTGCCACGTGCACTTAAATTCTACAATTTAATACAATACAGCAAGAACTGTTACACTAAAATACACAGAAAAGGAGCCTCCATATTCTACCTCCACGTATGAATTCACAGAAGCTGGACATGCTACCATGGACCTAGCAGTATAACTTCTGATCCAGGCACCATTTTCTAACACTTTGCACTTAAACATATTTAAACATCTTATTGTATTCTTTGGCTAGCACCACATTAGGTTGATTTAATATCAATCCTATCCTCTTTTTAATAATGCTGCTTGTTACTTGTTCTCATAAACTTTGGCACTACTTGATTCCTCCAATCATTATTTACTGACCTCCAAGTTGCATACTTACACTTTACAAATCAGAGCCAATTTTTAGTCACTTCATATTCTAACTTATCTGCTATTTCTATGCTGCTATTTCTATGTAAGTTCCTCAGTGTAATTGGTTATCTCATTAAAAAAAAAATCAGTTTTCACCACGTTTTCATTATCAAAATCCTTGATACAAAACAGCATGTTAAAAGAGATGAAAGGCCAGACTGTTTTGCTTTACTGGATATCTCCTTCAGCTGCCTTCTCATCTCCTAAAGAGAATCACAGAATGTTTGGGTTGGAAAGGACCTTTAATATCATCTGATTTCAACCCTCCACTATAGGCAGGAACACTTCCCTCTAGAGCTTCCTCCCATGTCAGGGAGGGGCCATCCACAAGGTCCCAGCAGGCAACAGAAGCCTGTTTAGTAACTGCTGCCCATGCAGCACACATCAGGACATACCTGCAAACAATACTGCAACATTCGGCAAGGGCCAATAGCAACTCTGAGGCCCTCCAGAGCCCCCATGACTGCCTGAATGACGTGCGGAGAGGTTTCAAACACATTAGGCCATACGTAGTTTAACAAATGATTAAGAGAATCTTCACAGCCAAACCCATAAACACCAAGAGACATGTGTTGCACCACAGCACTGGCTGTTTGTCTGTGTACAAGATCTCTGAAAAGAAAACAGTGGTGTATTAGTAAATCATACTTAGAAGCAACATATTTGGACAAGCATCGTGATTGTTTTTACTTAAATTATTCTGAAAGCACCAATATGTGCTTTTAACCCACATCTGACATTAAGAGGCAGAGTAAACAAAAAAAGATTAATTCAAAGGACAGTTTTCTGGCAATTATTGTGCTATAACCTCTGTAACAAAGGGACTAACAACAGAAATGATCAAAAGCAGTTTGAACACAACAAATACTAACCCAACTAAAACAGCAGCACCATTTCCACCTTCAAAAGCATTAGTAAAATAGAAGTATATAACCTGAATTATTTGTAGATAATGGGTACCTAACAACATTTGTTACTGAGCAATTTTTAGCAAACAAGGACAATGTGCATGTATGCTGTTAAGACCCAGTTACATATTGAATGTGACCTATTGGCTAACTGAACCATACATAGAAAGAACTGCACTTACCTGTCCATTAAAGCATCTTCGAGCAATGGCGTAACAGCATAAATATAATCTTTTCCCATTTCTCCAATGTATTCGAACAGGAAAGAAAGAGATTTTAACACACCATTCTGGACATTCAGTTCTGGGACTCTGTATTCATTCATGAGCGCAGGCAGCACTGTGAAAGGCGAGCATGTTTCAGCTACAATAGCAATTGCTACTGTAGTACATACTCTGTTCTGCCTTTCCTGTACTTTCAAGTTATTCAGCAATGTAGCCAAGACATCGTGAGGTCTGGAAGAGAAAATATGTACGTCTACATCAATGGATCTGGGGAGAATGTAGGTAAGTAAGTTGACACGGAAAAAGAAAGTGGCAGAAGAACATGGCTTAGCCCTTCAAGAAGTTAACATTCCCTGAGGAACATCATAAACCACAAAATTGTAACAGAGTTTAAGTAAGCACAAGACATTACTTCTTAAATCACCAATTTTTTTCCACTGGAAAACAAAAACACACCAACCCTCTCTTTAGACTTCGCTTTTGTTCAGCCTACAGGTAGTTTGTAAACAAACTCCAGGAGACAGGAGTAGCTTTCCCAGTATTACTCTGATCCCGCAGGCAATTAAAACTTGCATGAAATTTAAAACATTAATTCCAGGTAAGACTTTTGACAGAGATATGCAACAAGGCACAGAGAAGCCCAGTTGTGTATTGCTTGCTAGCTGGTTGTTTCTGCTTCAAGTCAGTAACTGGTCACTCATTTAAGAGTGTGCAGAGAAACAGGAATTGTGTTTCAAGCTCTGATTTACTGACTTGCAATACACCTCAATGTGGAAGTAAAAAAAGCCCTGCACTAATCAAAGCAGCACTGATTTAAGGAAAAATAAGAGAAACAGTATTTAAAAGAGAGCTATGAAAGAATACAGAAAGAGTCTGAATGCGTATCACACTACCAAAACTCAAGACAAGCATATTTTAACTACCAGTTTATATGCTAAACTTGCTAGCCCACCAATTCAGTTCAAAAGCATAGCACTCCATGCTAAGAATGTATCAATATCGTTTTACTAAAGGAATAAAATCAAACGTACACATTTAACATGTGAACTGTAGAGCAGTTTGAATATTTGTCTCCAGTCAAATTCACAATCATCACTACGTTAGATAACTCTGCATAGAACTTGATAAAGCATTATACCAACTTACCCAATGGCTTTTGCAATATATCCAAAAGTATTTACTGTGGCTCTTCGAATAGCTTTCTTGTGAGCTTTTAATAACTCAAGCAGCTCAAAGCAGATCCTCATCCATTCTCTTGCAGAAACGTATTCTGCACCTCTGAAAAAGAGTGAGTTTTCTCCAGTTCTGCTCAAAGTTTTGAAGTATAACCTCATAAATTGCAGTATCTATTTATTCACTATCAACAGAGGGATATGAGGGATATTTAAGCAATTTACTTAAAGTACCCTTTAAACTAGACCTTCACTGATTAACAGTTTACAAGGAACACATAGATATAATAAATTTAAAATTTGAAAGCATGGAAAGTATACTTCTTACAAAACACTTACAGATAACAATTATAATCAATGAATATACAGATGTTATAATTAATAAACATACAGTAAAGTTAGGCTAAGTAAGATCATTGCAACAGGAAGATAATAAATGGAAAATGCTTACCGATGTTGTAGGCTCACAATATTCTCCACAAGGAGTGATCTCTAAGAAGAAATCCCTCCTCAGTGGCAGTCAGCACTTAAATGGGATCTAGGAGAGGTGGAACCAGGCTCCACCCCTTCCGGTAGCACAGGTGAACTACCTTCACCTGTGCTCCCATGGCTGACTCAGTGCTCGTCTCAGGTGGGCACTCAGAGGTTCAAGGCCAAGATTCAGCAGTTCCCGTATGACTACATACTTCACTTAAACACTGAGTTAAACTTTCACAATAAAACTTAAGAAATAACAGGAGACGCAAAAAAGCCAGATATCAAACCTGATACTCTAGCTTTTGCTACAGCAATTGCTTCCAGAGAGGATCGATTACATCATTACTCAGCTTACCTGTCAGCAATGCGCCCAACCAGATCGATACAATTCTCCTGTACTTTCTCATGTCTGTTCTTCAAAATAGGCGTGAGCCGTGGCAGCAGATCTTTGATAGGTGGTGTCATCTTGTGCATACCTATTGAATTCAAAGAGGCATAGTAAGTTCTGCATTTCTGCATTCTTTTCATTTCACTCTTCAACAGGCACACAATCATTACAAAAACATACCTATGACATTAACAATAGCCTTAAGTGCTCCAAGTATGCTGCCCAGTACTTCCGGATATTCTTCACCCAGGTACTCATATAACACAACACCCAGATGTCCCATCAGTTTTTCCTACAAGCAAATAAGAAGATTCCAAAGTTAAACTTTCCTCCTTCTCGTTTCTATGACATACTGTACTAATTTGATACAAGTCAATTCAATACCTCTTGACAAGTCTTCATGACCACTGCAGTACGAGAGATGAGGTCAGCAGCCTGCTGCCGCACCTTGGCCGACTTGTTGTTCAAACGCCACAGAACCGTACCGCAGATCTGCGGCAAGTAGGGCTTCACTCGTTTGCCAAGAGCATTAACCACTGTGCCAAAGCCATTCAGCATCACAGAATCCTGGGTGTTAACACAAAAGACAGTTAGACCAAAACCACCACATTTTCATTCAATCGGGCATCATCTAAAATAGTTATTAAAATGCTAACATTCTACATCTAGTATGTGGATGTCATTGATCTGAGCACTGAAATCCCTGCAAGGGCTAAAAACACCTAACTCACAACTACACATTCCTCCATAACCAGCAGTGAGCTACCTTTCAGTTATGTCAACAATACCTCCAATTAAGTTGGCCATACCTCTGTGGTCTGTTCTTGAAAGGCATACAAGATGCCATCAATAAGTTGCTCTTCCAGCTTATGATCAATGTCTGCCGCACCCAGATTTCCCATTATCTTCTCAATTGTTTCCATGACCATTTTTCTGTACTGTTCGGCCTCATCTTTCAGATCATCCACAATTCTAGAAATAATTTCTGCTGCTCCAACTTTATTTGCCAGCTCCACTGTCGTATCCACCAACTGAAATATACAAATAGTTAAGTGAACAAACATTGTTAAAACCTTCTAACTCCTGAAAATGTTTATCTCCCTAGTCTGAAAAGTAGCAGCAGCATGCTGGTTTCCAAATCTATTTCAGTGGAAATCTTTTTTCAAGAAAAAGTTGTAATTTCAAAACAGATTCTATCTAGGAAAAGAGTAAAAATGCAATGGCACAGAGAGGAACAAAATGAAAAAAGGATGCACCAGTATAGCTACTGTAGCCACTACTAGTAAACAAAGAGAAGCTCTAAACTTGCCTTAAGACAAATGAAGTATTCTTTAAGCTCACAGTGAACAACTGTTTTCACCAACTGTTTACGAAATTATCCGGCTTTAAAAGACACAAATGGGGTGAACTACCTCAGCTTAAAACTGACGTAGATTCATATTCAGACAAAATACGTGGTGTGAAAGTCCTGACTGAACAGTTTCTAAACCACTATTCCAAACACAATTAAGACACAGGACATACAAAACACAAAACTAAGCATCTAGTTTGAATGAACACCCCAACACAAATTTTGTTCTACTACTACAAAAAAATTCAACTGGAAAAATACCTGTCTGTAATTCCTCCTGTCCAAAGCCATTCTGTGCTGCCAGAAGTGTTTGAAAAAAGGTGGCAAGATCTCTGTTTTAATGTAGTTTGCTTCAACACCATCTGTACCACAACACTGCTTTACCACCTAACAGGAAAAAAAAAAACCAATGTTAATTCTGTGTACAGTTTGTTTGTGATGTTTTGGATTGGCTTAAAGTAAAGAAAACAAATTAAATCTTAATGCTAAACATTCAGGTTTTATCAGTTTAATTTATTATACTGCTAGTCTGAACAAATCATTCTGACATACCTTCAAAACAATTTTTTTCATCTCTTCATCAGGAGACTGGAACTCTCTGATCAGAATTAGCATGACTTCTCTGGTATAATAGTTTGCATACTCAGCATCCATGAGTGGAATCAGATAACCAATAGCTTTCAAGAAGGCAGCCAAACCCTATTTAAATGAAGAAAGATATTTCCAATGAGTTACAGAAGACACATATTCATTTCAATTCAAACTAGAAGTATTTTAGACATACCTTTCCTCTGTGTTGACGTATACCCTTCCATAAGGGCTTCAGAACAGAATCAAATGACTCAATACCATAGGGAGTAGCTGCCTCAGCTAAAGCAGCAATAGCCAAAGCACTGATGGTACGAACCTTCTGCTGCTCATCCACAAGACCTGCAAAAGAACACTGTTTAGTACCACTTCTTGTATCTTAAACTCAAAATAGCAAAACTATGCAGATAGGATAAAAAAAGTACTTTCAGGAAAACAATTACTATTTCTCTTTCTCACTGTAAAAGAGGTCACACAAAACTTTGCCTTACTAACACTTCATCTCAACAAGGTACAGGAGGAAAATTCCAAATACAAATCTTAAGCCAGAGAAAGCAGAACCTACCATGTTCAATAATTTCAACCAAGCTCCTGAGATGAGGCAAGATAGCACAACCCATAAGAATAGCAATTTGCTGCACAATCTTGATGCCAGTATGCCTCGCTTGCCAGGATTTTTTACTTTTACAGACAGCTTTCAAGAAGGGCAACAGAGAAGGAATGCCCAAAGCAGAGGCAACAACAGCAAAGGCTCGAGCTGTGGTATTCCGGACATATTCATCCATGTTATCAATATCAGGTCGCATCGTAGAAATCATTGTTGCCAAACCAGCAGCCTGAAAGAAGAACATACAAAACACACAGATTTATGAACAGCACACTACATTTTTCAGCAGTGACTATAAAGTAGCTATATATAAGCTAACTCCTACTGCAGAATTAAAATGTATTACCTTAGCCAAGTTTGAAATAATTTCTCTGCCTTCTACTCTGGCATAATAGTCTTCATCAATCAGCAATGGTTCAATGACAACAAGAATCTGAAAAAGATGAAAAATTCACATTTCCATTTGTGAATACTTTAGGTAGTACTTCTGGCCCCTAATAAGAAAATTATGATTCCACGAAGCTGAGGTAATTCCATGGATTCAAGCTTTCAACTCTAAGATGACCAGAAAAGTTAGATCCGTTATGCTTTCTTTTTTCCCCTTACAACTCCTCCTTTCAAGAACCTCCCCCACAGATTCTAGCTACATCAAGTAAAATCTCCTTCCCTCTCTTAAGTGTGCATGTATTCTTTTAACATTATGCCTTAATGTTGTAATATTCACACTTTGATCACACTACAATAGGTTAAAGTTTAGCTGAAAAAAATACAAAAGCCAATATGATCTTAAAAAAAACTCATAATATTATCTTCTCTTCCGCTAGGCAAATGAACTGTACGCTTCTCCCACAGTGATCAGAAAAAGGCAATCAAAGATGAGCAAACTGCAACAGACCTTATGTACGTATGGTCGGACCAGGTCATCCAGTTTGTACAGAATTCTGTCTATGACTTTGACAAGTAAGTGGCGCTCCTGATCCTCCAGTGTTGGTGACATCAGCAATGGTAGAATCTGATTAAACAATGGACCAGCTCCAAATTCCCGAGCTTTATCAGTAATTTGTCTCAAGGCAGCCTAAAAAAAAAAAGCAACTGTTATTTAAACTACAGAAACAATACTGAACAGTTATTGAACAAGTAGGTATTAATCAAGTTGAAATATAATCTACTGTAACCACAGGCTTCACAATACTTGTCCCTACCACCATTTTCCACACAAATACATCAGATGATAGGCCCCAGATATTCCATTTTCGAGAAAAGCATGCTCAGTATTAAGAATGGCACCACCTGAAAAGGCATTTTACACAGCACTTGCATCAGGTGCTCAGATCAGTTTAGAGTGGAACTGCAAAAAACCTGTAATCTATTGCACGAGCAAGCTAGAAACTGAAGAGCTACACAGCCAATTTAAGAAGCCAAATCTAGAGAATTACAAAGCTCTGTAACTAAAAAGCACTACAGAATCTACTTTCCCATAGTTAAGAATTATTATATTCTGTGAATCATATGATACTTAGCAATGAGCATTACTGCACAAAGAGCAGCAACAACAAATTACATCGAATGATAAACCAAAAGCAACACAGATACAGAAGGAAGAGAAAGCACTAAACAGACAGCAAAGCTTAGGAGATAATTTTGAAGAGAATCCCATGGACAAGCAGGTGAATGAAGAGATAGTCTGAAAACAAAACTGAACACAAAGGCATAAGCTGAAGTGATAAGAATGATCACTAATCTTACCTTTCTCATGGGAGGCGTGCCATTCTTTATTTTCAAAAGTAATTTCATTATCTTCCTCTCCTTCTGCTCTTCAGGACTAAGAGTCGATTCATCAACATCAACCTAGAAATAATTCCAGACAAATTAATAGGCATTGGTATACTTCCAAAGATCATAAAACTTTAATCAGCATGAGTAAAATGTCATTTACCAGCAGCTTATCGAAGTACTGGATATCATCTGGCTTTAGGAATGGAAGATTGCCAGAAGGCTGGTCATTGACACTCTTCATAGTCCGGTCCTCTGTCTGCATGTGGAATCCAGTCATACCACCCAATGGTGTGGGAGTTGCTGTAAGTTTACGTGCTGGAGTACGAATAGGTACATAACCAGCTGGTGGGGGAAGGACCTACAGAAGAAATAAGAAAACATGGTAAAAACTGTACCACAGCACTAATCTAAAGAAGAATCTCCTCAGCTTCAAGGCTCATCTTACTGCAACAGATGCGAATTGAACAAGGTCTCAAATGCAGAACAGAAATAAAATAGAACATACGGGTTTAGCCATTTGTAGTTTTGCATGTTACTGCATACATCAGATCCTACATTCAGTGATATGATTCACAAATTCAGCAGGATAGTTCATATTCATGCTTATTCTGTATTGACAGCATTTCAGAAGAAAACTCACTGTCACTTCTGAGGGTTAGATAACAGACTTAAGTAGTCTTTAGAAACTATTAAACCCCATGCACTTCAATATTTGTATTAACATTGTGTATTTGTGAAGTCAGAATCGGTGACTCTCCTGTCTTTTCACATTTGGACTTTCTTTCTGAACTTAGCAGACATTCTTAACAATGAGAAGCAAAATAAAAACTGGCCATCGAAACAAACATGACTTTCTCCCTTTCTAATGGATTTATAATAAATGAGCAACTGAGCCAAACAAATTTCTACGTGAATTAATCAACAGCTCCTGTGAAGTATTCAACAAGTTGGACTTTTTTTTTTTAAATCAATATCACCTGACAGAAGAAAACTATCAGTCTGCTGCAGTTTCATTCAAATGAGTTACCTTATATCCTTCTGGGAACATAGCATCTAATTCTTCATCAGAAAGCGGCCTGTTTCTCTCATCAATTTCCCTCTCCCAACGCCAAGCCTGCAGCTGTTCAGGAGTCATGCTCATTATATGACCTATATTCAAATTAAAAAGACTTTTTTAAAAACTTCCACAAACAGAAGATACATTTACTTAAACTTTAAGTGTCCTCTTGAGTAAAACCTTCCACACTTGACATCTGTAGCCAATATGACACTAATGTCTTGACCCTCCAGACTGAATACAAACAGACCTTAGCTTTAGCTCCTGTGGGCATTAAAACAGGTAAACTAGATGTACATTAATTGTTTTCATACCATCAGAACATCACATTAGGTAGAAGTCCATTTCAATATACAATATAAAAGTTGGAGCTTCATTTTCATGTAATAAAATGAAGCCTTAAAGAATGGATTGGGCTTACCTGGAGTAGGAGTTGCCATGTTCATAGCTGGTGTACCAATGGGTGTTTTGCCAGGTGTCAGAACAGGAGTGCTGCCACCCATCTGGCTAGCAGGTGTTTCATCCCATCGGGACTTTCTTTTACTTGCTCCTGGGGTTGGTGTCTCACCAATGGAGTCACCACCTCTATCTGTACGAGGAGTCTCAGCCCATCCACTGCCATGTCCCGGAGTATCTAAAAAAAACCAACACCACAATTCTTGTACAAAACTGAACAGTACTATACACCAACTACAGCAAAAACATCCAATTTCATTACCTCATCCTCATTTCTACGTGAATAAGAAAGCATATAATAAATACACTAGAAAAGTTAAAATTACTTCCATAAACACTGAAAACATCAAACAGATAATTTTATTGAAGAAAAAAATCTTATCTTGTTGAATCTTAAAATAAATAGATAAAATTCTAAAAAATATGAAAGAACTCAAATATTCTGGATAATGGACAAAGTATTCCACACACTCTCTTGATAAACCATTAAACAGTGGTGTTTCACTGTACTTTGCCATATGAGCTCAATTCAAATTAAGATAGGTGACAAAATGCTTCTAAAACTTGCTTCAATGTTTAAGCAAGTTTTCAAAAAAATTTGAAGACTCAAAAAATTCAAGCTTGGAAATAGCACAGACATACAGTCGTATAACAAAAAAGCAATTCAGCGTAAAAATGAATTATGTTTTTTGTAACTGATCATTAAAATCCCAGCAGCAGTCACGAGACATACCACACAACTTTGATACAATTTTTGAGCTGGGTTCAGAGAAGTGGGTTAAGCTGACAGAATTCAGTGCTACACAAGCTCAGATGAAAACATCACACCAACCACTAGATGTCAGAATGTAATTACTTACTGCCATTTGCTTGCTTCTACAGTTTACGTAAGGTGATAAACTCCTATAGCATTTGCCATTCAAAATTCCTTAGATCCTCTCCAATTTGCCATACATACCTCTTTCTGTTTTAGGAGTTTCATCCCATCGATTTTTACGTGCACTGGAAGTGGCTCCTCCATGGCCTGGTGTTGCATGACCAGGTGTGTCCCGTCCAGGTGTCGCAGCTCCTGCTGGCGTGTGACTGGGAGTGGGATCCCATATCTTTGAGCCAGGGGTGGCACCGGGAGTTTCGCTACCCTTTGCACGGCCTGGAGTTTCATCCCATCGCAGAGATGGTGTATGTCCAGGAGTCTACACAGGACAATAGCCAAAGTATTAATCTCTCTCACTCTATGCAGTAGAAGGCTGCTGTTTTTATTCCTTCTCAGTGTGTACGCGTTAGAGTAAGAAACTTTCAAAATTCAAGCAGATTAGCATTAATATCTGCTACATATAAATTGAAGGACACAGGGATTATTACCTCTGCTTGATCCCAACTGGATAACTTTTTGGGTGTTGCACCAGGAGTCTGATCTGCTGTTTGATCCCAACGCCGCTTGCGTTTTGAAGGTGGCTGAGATGCGGCTCCATTGACGACTTTAAGCTCTCCAGCTTTAGCTTTTTCAGCTAGCTGTTGCCTAATCTCCCTCTATTCAAGAACACAAAAAGATAAACTTACTTCATAAAAAGGCCTCTTCAAATTAAACATTAAGACATTTTTCAGTCACATCAGATAACCTTTTTATGTTCTTTTGTTTTTGTTTTTTTTTATTGGTCAAAATAACATAACATTAGCCACTCTAAATTCAAATTCTTCCACAGCAACAGGGCAATGTGTCTGGAGGGACTACGTTTAAATTCATTTGCTATCAAGCTTCATATTATAGAGAAACGTACAGAATTTTTTAGTGCTGTCTGTTTCTATCACCATACGAATACCTCAGAACTACCACTAATCTATTTGAAATGAATTCCACTTAAGTAAATTATTAAAGAGGGATGAATTAGAAAATACGTTCATATGAGTTATACCCTGAGACATAAAAAAAAAGCCATGAAATTCTCATTTAAAATTCCGAAATGACACTGTTGAAACAACACACTGACAGACTATTTTTCATTTATCACTGAGCTCATGCAGTAAGGTTAACAAAAATGCAGAACTATTTCCTAAATTAATGTCAATTAGAGTAAATCAGTATAAGCCAGAGGTCAGTACTCTAAGATCTTGCTCTCGTTAACAAGACAGCTCTGTAGGCATCATAAAGGAAATTTTATTATATAACCAATATCTTTTAAACTATTAAAATGAATTTTTAGTAACTATGAACAGGTGGTTTTCCTATTATTTCTTCCTTTCAATTTTTAAGCCAAATGTTAACAAGCTGTTGCTACTGCAACAAAAGCCTTTTAAAAACTCCCTGGGTTCTCTTTATATAAAGCTTGCAAAAACAAATCCAACACCGAACAGCTCTCTGTATCTCTCAGGTTGTGTGTCACCTTCTCTGAAAGAAAATAAACAGCCCGAGAGCTACAAAGCAATCCAAACTGAAATATACTGACAGCATTTCTCCCTCCATTCTTTTGTTATTACATGGAACAGATGTCTTTCAAAGCTTCCATCCCTAAGGTCTATCATCATGGTTCAACATGTGAGGAATATGATTTTCCAAAGAAAAAAACTTAAAAATTCAACAGAATTCCCATTCCCACTATTCCTATCATGATTTCTAAGGCTGCAAGATGAAATGAAGTTCACAGGCAAACCCCTCCCCCAACTCACCTCTTCCTTTGTTAAATGCTGTTCACGCATAACATCCATGTATGTTCTGGCATTCATTTTAGGGTCTGGTGTCTTCCCTCCTGTAGAAGAGAACAGCAACAGGAATGGAGCACAATGAGTACAGGACAAGTAGAATCTACCAACTTTTTCTACAGTCCTGCTCTAATATTATATTATTCCATGATCATTTAATTTTACTTTTTGATTGAAAATTTTAAAAATTACATGAATCTTACATTTATTCAGTTTGCTGATCAATTTAACCTGTTTGAACACAAACGTAACTACTGCAGTTTCAAACAAATATTTTAAAGCAGATATAAATGATAGAATGACAACACAGTTAAGAGTCTTCAGAAGTGATGGGTTCCTGGGTTGCTAATCCGGAATACGTACACTTTCGTGCCTTTGTCTCCATCAGCAGTTCTGACTTCAAGCAGCAGAATAGAAGCCTAGAAAATTATCTCTTTACCATTAGTAACACTTTGGAAAGATATTTATATTCAAAACATTACCTTGTGCAAGCTGCTAAATCCTAGTAGTTATCTGACTATAAATATCACATACCTAAGTAATGTTTTAAATGCTTTATTGTAAGGACCCATTTAAAAGTTTGACAAATCTGGACACATTTCCCAGATCTTCCAGTGAAATATTGTAAAAGGGCTTCATTTAAAAAAGCAAAAAATCCCAGAAAACTGATAGTACCTTCCCCCTCTTTTCAAAGAACAATTGTGACCAGGATCTGAATGTAACACACATACCACCACAACGATACTCACACGTAATGGGTTTTGTGTACCATTTGTTGTTTTATGCTCTGTATCTTGAGTTAAAATTTAACTTTTACATACTTTACAAGAAGCCCAAATTTATACAAATTAAGACTTGTCAAGAAAAACACTATTAATTAAAAAGAATGTGCAGATTTGCTATACAAGTGGTATAGCGATATAATTTAGGAAAAAAATAAAAGTCTTAAACATTTCTATGCTGAAGATCATTGCCCAATTGGCTGTGTCACTCTGACACTAGCTTTGATAGGACTTTCCTTTGGAATACTTTTTCACCATAATCTACACAGGATGTGTTGAACTGCACCCTTAAGAATGCAGACAGGACTGGCATATAGCAGTACTGCTGTAGGAAAGAAATTAAGGACAGTTAGTATGGGCCTGTGAATTCTGACAATACATGTTTATATCAATTACAATTAAGCAAGTAAAATAAGTAATATCCCTAGTAATTCATGCAGGCTGCAACTCTAATTTTTAAAACCTGCAAAACAGCTGCTGATTTTAAGCCAACAGGCACCTCACTTCCACATGTGAAACTCGCTTGCCTCAAGAAATTTTCCATCAGACCCACTATACCCCTTTTCCTGATTTGCATTCTAAAATTATCTGAACAGACTTGAACTATTAATAGTATCAAAGTCTTATATATGCTTTTGTTTCTTTTAGCTATACCACCTAAGTTTACGTAAGATGGCAAGAATTAGGTGCTCTATTTTGAGAACTAGCATTTCAAAAGCAATAGCCCTGTAAAACTACAACTTGGAACGAAAGCTTTCAAGGTATTGAAAGACTGAGCACTCAATACACAAGTTGTTCAAGTATAATGCACAACCCAAAACAAAAAGAAAAGAGAAACCTTTAACCCTTTGTGTTTCTATGGCAATGGCTCATTATTTTCTTGTCCTTCTACCTGGAAAGAAAACTTGTATTATAAAGATGAAGAATATGGCATCTAGGTTTTCAACCCAACCTCTACAAAAAGGGGATGTTTAAAACAAAACTAAGTTTATAAGCATGCCAACAGAAATCAAAGGGCTAAAGACAGTTTAAGACAACAGATTTCAAAGAGAGTATAGAAAAGTCAAAAATAAATTACCATCTGCAAAAGGATCAAGACGCTCAGGGGAAATTATCATCATCCGCCTGTGCTTTTTGTACTCATCTTCCCGATCTGCAATCTTTTGAGGACGGTGTTCTGCAAAAGGATCATACTAAAAACAGAAGAAAAAAAGCTGGTTACTCACACAGGAACAATATGAAAAACTGCCAACCATTAGCACTACCCTAATATAAATCTTACTTCTGAAACTACAATGTTTATTTAAATGCAGAATTTCTGATCAAATAACTTCCTATTACTGTTTTGAGAAGCTTGTTCGTTTGCTTCTAAGGCATTTCATCCCAGCAGTCTTTCTTCTTTGGAAGACTCTTTTTTTAAATCTTCTTTCAGGGAGACTTAATACAACTTCAGACGCTTTTAAATTTCAAAGAAAAATATTTTAGGAGAATAAAACAAACACGATTACATTTTTGTTACAAAAAGTTAAGAGACATTCAGTTGTTCCAGACATTTACATTTTTTCAAGTATCCAATTGGTGTTTTTAAGTAGTTAAGCATATACGCACACGTTGCCTTCATATGCGCAAGTGCCAATTTTACCACCTGCTGGAATTTTAACAGAAAGCACTGACAAGCTTAGTGCTTCAAATACTGTCATGCTTTAGAGACATTCTGTAATTTCAGAAAACAAGACGTTGTCTTGAAATACTAATACTTCTCCTAAGACTCACACAGTCATTTGTTGTGCCCTGAGTTAAGACGTACCTGTTCGGTTGACTGTGGTATGTCATTAAGCAGTGCCACTGGAGCATGGTACCCCGGCTTCTTCTGGCCAAGCAAACTTGTAGATGGGTAATCATCATCATCCTGCCAGAAGAAAGACACGGCAAAGTCACACCAATACTGGCTTTAGGTAACAATGTCACATTAATACACTGTAGTCCTAGATAAGATGGAAAAGGACTAGAATATTTACCCCAGGTTTTAGCAACTCTTTTCACATCTACTGTTGTATTATTCCCAGCAATCAACTGCTGAACCAGATACAGCTAAACAAATGGCTACACTGATACCTTATTCCTTAACAGACTCAGTGAATGTGCTGCATTTACTCCAAGATGCAATCTTCAATAGCTATACAGAAAGTATTTCACATTAGTGCTACTGATGCGATGCGCTAATTGTTGTAGAAAAAGTGGGGCACACCATTTTTTTTTTTTGTCCAGGCAAATACAAAGAAAATGTCAGTAAGAAACCCCCCAAAATATTTATGTAATAATAAGAGATTAAGAAATCAATTACAGCCCTGTTAATTTGGTTGTACCTTCTCAACCACAGCCAAAACCAAGTATTCAGAATGTGTAAGGTACTCTGTGTATTTTGGCCAATTAGCAATGAGATTCCATGCACCAGTTTACGGCAACATGGAAGGAAAATTGCTCTTGAAATTATGAACTGATTTCAGTGAAACACTGTAATGGAAATTTTTAATTAATGCATTCAAATGCTGTGCTACTAGAAAAAATACCAGCTAATACTAAATTACACATAACATTCTTGCTTCCCTCTTAAAAATATTCTTCACTCAGTTTAATACACAGTTACTCATTGTGCGTTTATGATCAGAACTGTAGTTTCCGATTGCTTCTGAAACAAAAAATGTGTTTAACATTAGCACTTAAAGGAACTTAACAACAATCTTTCTTACACAAGACAGTCCAAAAAGCCAATCCACAAAAACTGCCCTGAAAATTCAAATGAAGTAGAAATGAAAATATTAAGACAGCCACTTAAAATGCTGGGCCTGAGTTCCACTAGAGTTTTTTCATCTCATTTTTCACCTTGGCAGCAACAAAAAACCAATTCAGGCAGTCTAAAGCTAATAGAGCACCAGCCCCCCAATGCTGATGCCCACCCAGAGCTCTGTGACTGTCAGAGCACGTCATGAAGTCTGAGCAGACACGGATCAGTCGAGCGCCCAGAGTAAGGCATGCTTTTTTCCATTAACTGCAATTATAAATGACTTCAAATAAAAGCCAGAATACTTAGAAACTCCTTAAATAAAAGAAATCACTTACGTCTTCCAATTCAGTTGCTGCAATGGATGTTACGTATCCTGCAAACCTGCTGTCACTGCCACCATAAATTTCTTGATCATAATACCCGGTGGAGTCGAGGCCTACTCCTTGTGCTTCATCAAGGGCAGGCTTTTTGCCTTGAATTTCTCGGATCTGCGCTTCGATATCTAGGGGAAACATACCCACACATTCAGGTCTTTTTAAACATACACAAAATGCAATATTTGTATCATTATATTCAGCAAACCACTGAGTTTCGAAGACCATTTCTAACTAATTAACTAATTATAATTATCACACGAAACTATAAAACAATGATGCATATAAAGCAGCTTTTCTTTAAGCTGTAATATTATCCAGGACAGACAAATCCAGCTGCATTACGGCCCAAAGTAAACCATTCAAAACTATTAACGTTAACACATCTCATCTTTCAAAGAGATGGTGGGGAAGGTAATTACAGCACAACAGTATTTCTCAACATTACATGGTCCAGGGCTTTCTCAATTAATGTAATTTTTTCATTAAAAGCAGCTTTCAAGATGTTATCACCAATTAATAAACTGATTTTGCTAATTTAAAGAAACCCATTTAAAGGAGGTAGCGTGTGAGTAGCCATGCCTGGGAACATTCAATAGAACACCTTATTCAAGAATAAAATATCTACTACACTGCAAAACTGTATTACCATTGAACAAACAAAACACTCTGACAACACTGGCAGGACTTCAGCCACAGCTCCCATCACAGGCAGCTCAACGTACCCGACTTGTGACAACTCCTGCCTCTGCCACCACCTTGGAAGAGCCCAGTGCTCTTCTGAACTTTTTGCCTGCCCTTCAAGGAGGGCCAACGGAAGCTTTGGCACTCCTAACATATCAGGATCTGACACCAATCACCCTGGGGTCAGTCACTGACCTCAGAAATTTGGCTCTATTTGAGAGAACAGTAACTCAGTAATCCCCAAAACCAAGGAACCAATTTAATCACGCCTCTTCCTATGAGTTGGTAAAAGCAACAGGAAAATCACTGTGGTAATTCAGTTGTCTTCAACAAACATGATCAAGACACAGGTACACTAAGGTACACCTATTCTCATGAAAACAACTGTTGTTTCCATCTGTATTTGCACTTACTGGGCGAAGAAATACCAAGTGCCCTGCTCGCAGAGGCTGGCTGGACTAGGTCTCAAATGCCCTTACTGACCTCAGCAATTCTGTGCTTCACCCTTCCCGTCTGAAGTACCACTGCCTATGACATTAACTGCAGGGAAATTCACCAGTGACAAAAGCTCCAGAGAAGTACTACTAGCAAATAACCCACAAACTCTACACATACTACTGAGCTATTTACTACTGTTGCTCATCGCTGTTTTTTTTTTTTCCTTCAGGATTAATACATTTCACAAGGCTTTTCCACAGAGGTAGCTTACAAAAGGTACTAAGATGCCTATAAACAAAAATTAGGAAAGGTAAGAATTAAATAAAGGTAAAATCATCGCTAATCCAGCTACAGGCCGAGCAGAGCTTTGCAGCTGCCTAGAGCACAGTCAGCTCCACACTGCAGGAACCCCAGAGAGTCATGAGAGCTGAAGCCCAATGAAAGCCTTATACTGCCAGCCACGAGCCCGGCTGAACCTTGCCCCTACATTCAGCTCCCCAGGAAGTCCCGCACAGCACAGGTTCTCCAGGACTGGAGACATTTTGTTCCTAACTACGTTAATACCAGAAAGAAATTACTAATGCTGGGTTAGGATCTTGGTCTTGCCCACAGAGGTCTCTCATCTTCAGAGACATCCCACACATACTCCATCAACCAACAACTCTTTCAGGCATTTCATTCTTGCACACTTGTCCCACTGCTTGACTATGGAACCAAAACAACTCAAAGAAGCACTTTTCTGCCAGGTCTGTTAGGTGTTCCTGGTTGGTTGTTTCCTTCAAAGGGCAGATCAAGTTTCTGATTTCGTTTGCAGTTTGCTGCAATGCAGCACTGGAGTGGAATGAAATACCTGAGGCTTTTACGACTACTGAGGACAATGGAAGGACCAAGTGATTTTAGACCACGAAGGCATTGTTTCTTTCTTCTAAAAAAAGTAGAGAATGTTTCTTCTGCAGCCACACACAGAGTGTCCTGGCCAGCACTGGGACTTATGCTTGCTCTATGCAGCAAAGCTGCTGTCCTAGTTTTTTTGAGGGTAAGAATAAGTGACCGTGCTTTTCCCAGCTGACAGCACACCAAGGGACAACCATTAGTATTTAACTTCCAAAGCAAGTAATAATATTTTTATTATTTTACATAAAAATAATGTTACATATGATAATGCCTAAAAATAATCTGCTGAGTATTCTCTTGTCTCTCATACGGCTGTCTGTGGCCAAACTATTTCTTACTTGTGGTTGTTCAATACCGGAAGATATTCTCTGGCTTCTATGAAGAAATTCTAGAGACATTTTCAAGAGAGTTCAACCAAATCCTTCCAGTGAAGAAAACGGCTCACGTGGTCCAGCATTTAAAAATAACATGGTGCAAGAGATGTGGAACCCAAACTTCCCTTCTTACATTACCTGATAAAACATACATCGCGTATATAACTAAATCGCAGTGAGGGCATTAAAGGAGCACAGGACTTTAAACTTTGGACTGTAGGATGTCACACTTCTTCAGATTTCCACATACTTGGAAATTGATCTGACTTATAAGCTGGAGAGCTACGAGCGGTTTGTCAGCTCACAGCCCTTTCTGCCTCAGGAACAAATCCAAGGGACCTTCTTAACATACTTTTAATACAGAACAAAATCTTTGCAACTGCCTGAAGATCAGACCTTCCAAGCATTTGAACACACACTTTATGTTAAGCCGATCAGCAGTTTCTATTCAGTTCAATGGGGCTACTTCTGTATAACGTTCACCCATAAACTCAAACCATTCCTATTACTCCTCCTCTTGCCTCCCCGTGCCATTATTTGCAAAGCGTCTGAATTCACGGCACGAGCACTCGTGTGCTGATGTGTAACTAACACAGCTCGCCCGCCACACACACAGGAGGACGGGCACGCCAGCAAACACGCAGAGCACCGCTAACAACTGTTTTCTCTCTCTTCAAGACGCTCACGAGCCAAAGCCCCGCGCGGAGCGGGAGGCGGCAGCGAGCGCAGCCACACTGCGCCCCCGGGAACAACGCGGGGCGGCCGGGAGAGCCCGGAGAGCCCCGCTACGCAGCGCAGCTCCGCTACACGCCCGCCCAGCCGGCAGGCAGCCCCCGGTCCGAAACAGCGCCCTCAGCCCCACGACCCCGCGCCGCCCGCCCTCCTCGCGAGCCTTTCCTCAGCGGCGCCGCGACGCAGCGTTCCGGGAGCAGCGTCCGCTCCCGCCGCCGCCGCCCGGCCCGCTCAGCGCGGCGGTACGGCGGGCTCTCCCTACACGGCGCTCCGCGCGGGCGCCTCCCGGCCGAGGGGGGACCGCGCGGCCACTGGGGGGGGCGGCGTGCAGCGCCCGGCGGGCGACATCTTAGGAGCCGCCCGCGGGGCGGCGCCGCTCCGACAAAGGCAGCGCGCGGCTCCCCGCGGCCCGGCCGCGCAGCACCGAGCGCCAGGCGGCGGCCCGGCCATGGCGCCGACACGGGCGGCGACGCCATTACGAGCGGGCCCGGCCCGCCCGCCGCCCGCCCGCCCGGCCCCCGGCTCCCCTAACGGTCCGCGATCGGAGAGGAACGGAATAAGAAGACGCGAGAGGAGCGCGCAGCTTCAAACAGCACCGCCGCGAGCAGATTTCGGCTTCTTACCTTCGTGGGTCTTGGCGATCTTCGCCATTTTGTCCAGCGCGAACAACGCCGAGACGGAACTGCCGCGGCCCCAGCACTTCCGTTCCGGGGTGGGGGGAGGGGAGGCGAGAAAGCAGTACGCAGGCGCAGCTGCGGGCCGCGCCGCGGTTTGCCCAGTACTGGGGCCTTGCGCAAGCGCAGTGACGGCGGCGAAAAGCGCCACTCGATCGGCCGAACAGCCCTGCGGGCCGAGATCGGAGCCACGCCCTCCTCCTGACTGACGTCTTTTCCAACCAATAGGAATACGGCATGGAAGCTGAAGTGGCCAATAGCGGCGCGGCGGGGCAGAGGGGTCGGGCTGTGTGTGAGGGCTCGAGCACTGCGGGCCGTGGGCTGCCTGCCGCAAGATGGCGGCGGTCCGGGCCTCAGCGCAGAGCGGCCTGAAGGCGGCTGGGCCGTGATGCTACTCGCTCCGTTGCTTGGGCTTTGTTCGCCAGTCGTGTGGGAGACAAGTGGGAGACATGTACATGTACTCAAATGTTGGAAGTTGAAATCGAGCACAGGAACTCCACATAGCCAGAACACTGAGAAGGTGCCAGGGGGTTGACAGTAAACATGTATCAGCAGCAGCGTGCTGCCACTGCAGGAGTAAACCCAATCCTAGCGCTGTTAATGGCAGCGTTGTATGCAAAGTCTAGAAAGCAGTCGCTTTGCTGTGCTTGGCACGACACTGCTCATGGAGTACTTGAGGGCAGAGCTAATTCTGGGATGTGGCACGTGGACACGGACAAACCCAGCTGTGCCTGAAGAGAATAAGCAGCCTGTCCAGAGGTGTGTCAGACTTCACCCCAGCGTGGGACTTGGGAATGTAAACAGCAGCTAATGGCTTGGCTGTTGTGCAGCAACTGCCCTGGGCAGCTTTGTGCTTCGTTTTGGAAACTGATGGTTTTCTATTATTTCAGTTCTTTTGCTGTCATAGATCCATTTCAACATAATTGCCTACAGTATGCATGATAATTGAATGGGGTTTATTCTGTTCCCATCCAAAACCCCAAAAGCTCTCCCTTAAGCTCAAGCGCTGTGAACAAGCTAACTATCATTCTCAGTTTTCTGTAATAGTAAGCAAAAGCCCGAGTAAAACAGCAACGCTGATCACACAACCTGAGGTCTAAGTCTGATTGCTTGAGCAAACAATACTTTAATGATATTTCATAACGTGCAGTACAAAACGTAATCTTATATAAATTATTCAACATCATGCGGTTTTACTGTGCAACTGCCAGGTTTCTAATCTCCTCGAAAGCCTTTGCTGCACGGATAGAAAACCAATTTTTGTTGTGTCAACTTAGGAACGTCTGGAAAGTTAAAACATAATTATTTGCAACAAGAGGACAAAGGCATGATGGCAGCACTCGCTGCTCATAAATCATTCCCACCAATAAAATTAACTTTTCAGCTTCTTGAGGATTGTCTTATATAAAGCCAATGTTTTGTGTTTGTGAGAACGTGTTTGATCAGTCAGTTCATCTATGTGTCTCTTTGCTTTTTTATTGCTTAGTTTGCAGAAGTTTACTGAGTAGTTCAGTGTTTGTACTTTACATAATTGCATGCATTGAAATATTAAATATTCTTAAGAGAGATTAATTTGAAAGTACAGAGGATCTGCTCTTTAGTATTATTAAACTCACATCCTGGATTCATAGAAAGATGCATTCATTGGCTGTGGAATAGAGATATATATCGAGCTGTTGAGAGACATGTGAGGATAAGGTCAAGGCAGACAGTAATTCCCTACTCCAGGAATTTAATGCCCGCAACTATTTTAAGTAACTGTCACATGCTTGGGTTCACCATGAAGATCAATTTGCAATAAGTTTCTCTTGTTTCTTCAGCCTGACTTCCAGCTTACTTTATGGGCAGCAATATTATATTCCCACTGTTATTAAACAGAACTGAGCTCAAAGGTTGCGATCCTAGGGTACACTTTTAAAATGTGATTTTGGAATATGCCATTTCCCTCTCGAAAGGAGTTCTGTGTTTTAAGAGTGAAGAGGAATTGTGCTGTGATAAAGCACTGTAAGGTGCAATGAGAAAACTATTTTCTGCTTTGTTTTCCTTTCCTCTCACAAATTCTGTATGCTGACCACAGTCCTGTAATTTGCCTCTCTAAACCCTGAATCCCAGTATATCTACACTCTTGTTTCCTGAACACTTTATCTGTTACAGAGCTCCCACAGGATATGGACAGGGTAACTTAGTGGTTTAGCCCTCCTATGTTACCTGTCAAAGATCCATCCCCCGTCCTCACATGTCCATACATCTCATGGAAATTTCTGTGCGGATTGGAAAGACATTGGTTTTAAGAGCCCAGAAGCTTTCCAGACAGTGTCATACCTAAGTCACAAGCTGGCAAGGTCTTACTTAACAGATTCAGGTCCAATGTCATGGCCTGCCTATGCTATCAGTAGCTGGTACTGTTGCCAAAAGCAGTGCCTAGTCACATCTCCTGTCCTTGATTTACCCATTCTATTGTGCCATTGGCACTGGTGCACTGAAGCAGCCATGCTTATGGCTATTCCCTCCTGTTCATCTTCCAAGAACAACTTATTCAATTTTTTCCTCCCATACACAACACTATAAAGAATTGTACAGTGAATTAACAGTATGCAAAAAGCTACAGATCTAGTCACAACTCCCTGCCTTGGTTTACCCTGTGTTACACTTTTTTTGCCATGACCTGTTTCCTGACATTTATGTGTCTATTAAAGGCAAAAATGATTGACTGAAAGAGTAGAAACATAACAAAAGTGGGTATGTTTCAGCTCCATAGAAACTAATTCAGAAAAACTCTAATTCAGAGTTTCTCACATCATAAGTAAGGAAAAAATATAAATCTCTTCCAGTTCCAGCTTTGCTTCTGACGTCAAGAAATGAGGTAGAGAGGATCTATTTCCTTACTGAAAAGCCAAAAGGGGGAAAAAACAATTTGGATGACAAATGTGATAAAGTTAAGGGCACGGCCCGAACGTTGGCAGCACTGGCAGGGCCCTTACCTCAGGGCAGTGACGGCTGCTGCTGGGCAGGCACAGGCCTAGAGGACATGTTGCCTTTTACCCACTTTACGTATTTGCTCATTTCCCAAACAGCTCAGCTGTGAATGTCATTGCCCCGGATTGGCAACACACTACTGCTGGTCTTGCCCCTTTGCACACATGGGAAAAACAAGGCAGAAAATAAATGTGAAACCCTAACAGTGAGAAGACATTACCTATCCACAGCTTTGCAGTTTAACATCCCAGAGCATCCCACAAGCTGGGAACAGCAGAGATTCAGGAAAGCTACAGGGAGATGTACCTATTCAGGAACGGGATTCAGACTATCCAACACAAAGACAGACAGCCGTGTGTGATAGTTGATGAGGTTAAGCAGGATTTGAGGACCCTTTGGTAGATGTGTCTCGAGAGAAGCCAGGCTTCAGGCCCTCAGGAGGCCTGTGTCACCTCACTGCTGTGGTGCTGCCGGGTGAGCGCTGCCTGGTGCTGCCTTGGGCAGCGATCCTCCCCAGACAGTGGTGGGTCAAGGGTGGCACCTGGGTGGTAGTGCTGTTCCTTAGCAGTCAAATACAGCCTCTGTTTCTTTGGAGATGGGAAAGGGCATCAACAGAACAGCTGGATTTCACGCTGTCTGTGAGTACAGACAGGCAGATTTCAGCCTTTTTTGGATGTTCAAGCCCACCAAAATCTCACAAAGATATAAATATTCTAAGCCTTCAGGTTTAGGCTTACAGCCAAATACTTTAATTCGTGCTATACCAGAAACACCCAGCTCACTGGTACCATGTGAACACTCTCCTGATGTTATATTGTAGCTCCTGATTAATCCACTGAAGCATGAGATAGTAAATCTGTCCTTAGTTCCTGGCAGCATCCTTGGGAGATCATTAACTAATGACTTAATCATCTCCCAAGCTTATCAATCACCTTCTCCTGCCAGATGATGTGGTGATGAGACTTTACAGTTTTGAGATGTTTCAGTTGCAGGCACTGTTTGAAATTCATTTACAAGTGGGAATACAGTGGTTGATTTTTGCTCTGCTTGGCACATCTTTGGTTGCCACATGAGTGTGTTAAGCAGCTGTCCTACTGTCATCTGTAGGAAGAGCTGAAAGCACTGTGTAGAAAATAACCTGCTTTTAAACCAGGATACGCCACATCATCCACGGTTTACTCTCTCTGTCCTCTTAAAAGGACCCTGATTATTCTTAAATGGCTTAAAATTGTATAAAGGTCATAACCAGAGTTTAAACTGAACTTTTTCTTATGATTTGGTATAATAAAAAGTGTTTAGAAGAAAAAATAAAGATATGTTGCTGTGGCACCACATGATGACTCTTTCAGGTGTACCCACAGCATTCAATATTAATTAGACCCACTCTTCCTATCAAAGTTAGTTAATGCAAATCTATTTGCAAACAGTAGATATCAGCCAAGGTGCAAAGGCTGTTTCTGAGCCACCCAAGTTTAAACAAACAAACAACCCCACGAAACCCCAGAGAGCCTCAGGTATTCCTTACCTTTGTAGTTCAGTTACTGTAAATGCTGTAAGTCAGCCTCCGTGTGAGGTTGATCTACAGAGTCTGCTGCAACTGATGCAGGACCCCCTGGCCAACAGCAGCCAGCGGGCGAGGATGGATGCTGCAGCACGTGCAGATGGAGCTGGCAGCAGGAGGCTGGGTGGGGGCAAGGCCTGGGGCTCCCTGCCTGCCTGGTCTGGCAGCTTTCCTGCTGTGCTGTAAAACGCAGGGCTTTGAATACTGCTGGTATTCATCGACCACCAAATGGAAAACATGGTGCAGGACAGCAGGTCTGAAAAACACCGTGCCCTGATGGGATTGAGAGGCGCTCCAGTTAGGTCCAGTTATTTAAACTGGTGCAGTTCTTGTTGAGTAATTGGTGTTTTAGCCAGTGACAAGGATACTGAAATGGCAGAGAAGACTCTTCTGAAGAAGGCACGCGTGTGGAGTCATACATTGCCCACAGCTGCTTCTCATTTTCCACGCATTCAAGTACTTCAACTAAAACAGCTTTCTACCTTCTGTGCTGATTTTGAGAGGATATTTGTTCGCCAGGCAGACAGACGTCACCACAGAGCACAGACACACTGTTAACGACGCTCCTGGGCCGCTGGACGGGGTGAAGCACAGACAGTGTGACACTGCCGAGCGCAGGAGCCCGACCACGGCTTCAGTCGTGAAGTGGTTATAAAGCAGCTTTGTTGAAGGGAGCTATTTAAAAGGTGACCTGCCAGAAGGCATAAATAACATCGCTTTTTCTTTGAGCGGATGCCTAGCAAAGCAACGCTCTGTGATTACAACCGGGACCAAGCGAGGACACACAAGTTTCGGCGACGCTACGCAAACCCGCCTCTCACGAGGAGCGGCGGCCGGGGCATCTGAGGGGCGGCTGAGAGGCACCCCCGCCCCGCCCGTCACGCGGCCGCAAACACCGCGGGGGCTCCCGGCGCGCAGCCCAAGTATAGCCGCTCTCGCCGCCGGGCCAATCCGGGGCAGGCGCCGCTCCGCCCGGCCCCGCCTCCCGCTCCGCTGCCGTCCCGTGACCGCGCCGCCGGCCCCCGCGCTGCGATAGGCGGCCGGGCGGGGCAGGGCCGCCGCCACAGTCGGGCAGCGCCGGGCGGGCGGCAGCCGGCGAGGAGCGGGGCCCGGGATGGCGCGCAGCGGGCGGGCGCTCGGCAGGGCGCTGACGGGGAGGCTCGTCGCCGCGCCGCCTCCCCGAGCGGCTGCCGTCAGGTAGGCGGGCGGGCCGGGCCTGCCCCGGGAGCGGCGGGCGCGCGAGGGCGGCGGTCTCGGCCGCCGGCACTCCCGACGCGGCCGGGGGAGCGGAGCGGAGCCGAGAGCCGTACACGGCGCCGTTCCCGTCTCCGGTAGCGCGGGGCGGCTGCGGGGGCCGGGCGGGGTGCGGCTCGCGGGGCTGCGTCCCGAGAGGGGAAGGAGCCGGCCGCTGCGGCGGGGAGAGCCGCGGGGAAGCCGTCAGGAGCGGGGGAAGACGCAGCTGTGCGCTCCTGCGTTAAACGTGAAGCCGCGGAGCCGTCCTCCTCTGCGCACGGACGGCTCCCGTGCTGCCCGCGCCTGCGGAACGGCCTGTCAGCTTCCTGCGGCCGCACTCTGTACCGCGCACCAGTCGCGGATACATCGCTTTGCATCCTCACCGTTCAAACAGTTCGGTCCTGCTAAGTAAACCAGCCGCTTTCAACGAACTTTTCAGAAATGATGCAGTTCTGAATGGAGAGCAGGAACGATTACCAAGAGGTGCATTCAGCGCCATGAAGTTTAGTGGCAGTAAAACCCAGCCCCCAGTTGGGAGAGCGCTGAGGGGCTGTCAGGGCAGCCAGGTGCCTGCATCCTGGGAGGGACTTGGCTTTGCTTCGGGGGCCTCTGCCAGGCTCACAGGAACACACGACTGCCCATTGCAGCTTGCACTTGTGTGGTTTCCTTAAGAAGCAAGCTGCTCCGGACCGGGGCCAAGCCCAGCAGGTTCTGGTAGCATCCATTCTTCATAGATAA